GGAAATTGGGGAAAAAATGGTGAAAAAATGGGGAATTTATGGCCAAAAATGGGGAAATTATGGGAAAAAATGGGGAATTTATGGGAAAAAATGGGAGAATTCTGGTAAAAATGGGAAAAAATTCCATGGAAAAAATTCCATGGGGAAAAAATTCTGGTGGAAATTGGGGGAGTTTTGGTGAAAAAATGGGGAAAATCCGTGAAAAAATGGGGGAATCCCAAGATTTGGGGCTCCAGCTGCTCCAGGAACTGCGGGGACGTCACCGGAGACTCCAGGATCACGCTGGGGGGGAGAGAATTCCATGGGAAAAATTCCATAGGGAAAAATTCCGGTGGAAATCGGGGGAAAAACGGTGAAAAAATGGGGAAAATCTGTGAAAAAATGTGGAATTTATGGGAAAAAATGGGGAAAATCTATCTAAAAATGGGGAATTTATGGGAAAAAATGAAAAAATTCCATGGAAAAAATTCCATAGGGAAAAAATTCCATAGGGAAAAATTCCTGTGGAAATTGGGGAAAAACGGTGAAAAAATGGGGAAAATCCGTGAAAAAATGGGAAAATTATGGGAAAAATGGGGAAATTCTGGTAAAAAAATGGAGAAATTCCATCTAAAAATGGGAAAATTCTGGCAAAAAATTGGAGAATTCTGATAAAAAATGGGAAAAAAATTCCATGGGAAAAATTCTGGTGGAAATTGAGGGAGTTTGGGTGAAAAAATGGGGAAAATCCGTGAAAAAATGGGGAATTTATGGCAAAAAATGGGGAAATTCCATCTAAAAATGGGGAAATTTATGGGAAATGGGAAAAAATTCCAGGGAAAAAATTCCATAGGGAAAAAAACGGTGAAAAACGGGGGAAAAATGGTGAAAAAATGGGGAAAATCCGTGAAAAAATGGGGAAATTATGGGAAAAAATGGGAGAATTCTGGTAAAAATGGGAAAAAATTCCATGGAAAAAATTCCATGGGGAAAAAATTCTGGTGGAAATTGGGGGAGTTTTGGTGAAAAAATGGGGAAAATCCGTGAAAAAATGGGGAATTTATGGCAAAAAATGGGGAAATTCTAGTTAAAAAATGGAGAAATTCCACCTAGAAATGAGGAAATTTCAGTGAAATGGGAAAAAATTCCATGGGAAAAAATTCCTGTGGAAATTGGGGGAGATTTGGTGAAAAAATGGGGAAAATCCGTGAAAAAATGGGGAAATTATGGTAAAAAATGGGGAAATTCTGGTAAAAATGGGAAAAAATTCCATGGAAAAAATTCCATAGGGAAAAAATTCCATAGGGAAAAAATTCCATAGGGAAAAAATTCCATAGGGAAAAATTCCCATGGAAATCGGGGGAAAAATGGTGAAAAAATGGGGAATTTATGGCCAAAAATGGGGAAAATCCGTGAAAAAACGGGGAAATTATGGGAAAAAATGGGGAAAATCCATTAAAAAATGGGATGGGGAATTTATGGCCAAAAATGGGGAAAATCCGTGAAAAAACGGGGAAATTATGGGAAAAAATGGGGAAAATCCATTAAAAAATGGGAAAATTGTGGGAAAAAATGGGAGAATTCTGATAAAAAATGGGGAAAAAATTCCATGGGAAAAAATTCCGGTGGAAATTGGGGGAGTTTTGGTGAAAAAATGGGGAAAATCTGTGAAAAAATGGGAAAATTTATGGGAAAAAATGGAGAAATTCTGGTAAAAAAATGGAGAAATTCCATCTAAAAATGAGGAAATTTCAGTGAAATGGGAAAAAATTCCATGGGAAAATGGAAAAAATACCATGGGGAAAAATTTTGGTGGAATTTGGGGGAGTTTGGGTGAAAAAATGGGGAAAATCCGTGAAAAAATGGGGAATTTATGGTAAAAAACGGGGAAATTCCATTAAAAAATGGGAAAATTATGGGAAAAAATGAGAGAATTCTGATAAAAAATGGGAAAAAAATTCCATGGGAAAAAATTCCATGGGAAAAATTCCATAGGGAAAAATTCTGGTGGAAATTGGGGGAGTTTGGGTGAAAAAATGGGGAAAATCCGTGAAGAAATGGGGAATTTATGGAAAAAAATGGGGAAATTCTGGCAGAAAAAACCCATTTTTTTCCCCAAAATCCCATTTTTTATGGAATTCTCTCCCAGAATTCCCATTTTTCCATCCCAAATTCCCATTTTTTCCTCACCTGATCATCTCCTGACTCCAAAAAATCCCAATTTTTCCCCAAAAAATCCCAATTTTTCCCCAAAAAATCCCATTTTTTTCCCATTTTTTCCCCCAAAAATCCCATTTTTTCCCCAGAATTCCCATTTTTCTCCAGAATTCCCATTTTCCCATGGAATTCTCTCCCGGAATTCCCGTTTTTTGCTCACCTGATCATCTCAGGAGGCACCACCAGCTCGTCCAGGAGCCCCCTGACCCCAAAAAATCCCAATTTTTCCCCAAAAAATCCCAATTTTTCCCCAAAAAATCCCATTTTCCCCCAAAAATCCCATTTTTTCCACAGAATTCCCATTTTTTTCCCATTTTTCCCAAAAAATCCCATTTTTTCCAAAAAAATCCCATTTTTTTCCCCCAAAATCCCATTTTTTCCCCCAAAAACCCCATTTTTTTCCCATTTTTCCCCCAAAAATCCCATTTTTTCATCCAAAATCCCATTTTTCCCCAGAATTCCCATTTTCCCATGGAATTCTCTCCCAGAATTCCCGTTTTTTGCTCACCTGATCATCTCCTGACTCCAAAAAATCACATTTTTTCCCCAAAAAATCCCATTTTTTCCCCAAAAAATCCCAATTTTTCCCCAAAAAATCCAATTTTTCCCCCAAAATCCCAATTTTTCCCCAGAATTCCCATTTTTCCATGGAATTCTCTCCCGGAATTCCCGTTTTTTGCTCACCTGATCATCTCCTGACCCCAAAAAATCCCATTTTTTCCCCAAAAATTCCATTTTTTCCCCAAAAAATCACCTTTTTTCCCAAAAAATTCCCATTTTTTCCCCCAAAATCCCATTTTTTCCCCAGAATTCCCATTTTCCCATGGAATTCTCTCCCGGAATTCCCGTTTTTTGCTCACCTGATCATCTCCTGACCTCAAAAAATCCCAATTTTTCCCCCAAAAATTCCATTTTTTCCCCAAAAAATCCCATTTTTTCCCCCCAAAAATCCCAATTTTTCCCCAAAAAATCCCATTTTTTTCCAATTTTTCCCCCAAAAAATCCCATTTTTCCCTCAAAATCCCATTTTTTCCCCAGAATTCCCATTTTCCCATGGAATTCTCTCCCAGAATTCCCGTTTTTTGCTCACCTGATCATCTCCTGACTCCAAAAAATCACATTTTTTCCCCAAAAAATCCCATTTTTTCCCCAAAAAATCCCAATTTTTCCCCAAAAAATCCAATTTTTCCCCCAAATCCCATTTTTTCCCCAGAATTCCCATTTTCCCATGGAATTCTCTCCCGGAATTCCCGTTTTTTGCTCACCTGATCATCTCAGGAGGCACCACCAGCTCCTCCAGCACCCCCTGACCCCAAAAAATCCCAATTTTTCCCCAAAAAATCCCAATTTTTCCCCAAAAAATCCCTTTTTTCCCAAAAAAATCCCATTTTTTTCCCTTTTTTCCCCAAAAAATCCCAATTTTCCTCCAAAAAATCCCATTTTTTTCCCAAAAAATCCCATTTTTTTCCAATTTTTTCCCCTAAAAATCCCATTTTTTCCCCAAAAAATCCCATTTTTTTCCCATTTTTCCCCCAAATCCCATTTTTTCCCCAGAATTCCCATTTTCCCATGGAATTCTCTCCCGGAATTCCCGTTTTTTGCTCACCTGATCATCTCAGGAGGCACCACCAGCTCCTCCAGCACCCCCTGACCCCAAAAAATCCCAATTTTTCCCAAAAAATCCCAATTTTTCCCCAAAAAATCCCTTTTTTCCCAAAAAAATCCCATTTTTTTCCCTTTTTTCCCCAAAAAATCCCATTTTTTCCCCAAAAAATCCCATTTTTTCCCCCAAAATCCCATTTTTCCCCCAAAATCCCATTTTTTCCCCAGAATTCCCGTTTTCCCCTGGAATTCTCTCCCGGAATTCCCGTTTTTTGCTCACCTGATCATCTCAGGAGGCACCACCAGCTCCTCCAGCACCCCCTGACCCCAAAAAATCCCAATTTTTCCCCAAAAAATCCCATTTTTAGCCCAAAAAATCCCATTTTTCCCCAAAAAATCCCATTTTTCCCCCAAAAATCCCAATTTTTCCCAAAAAATCCCATTTTTTTCCCCATTTTTCCCCAAAAAATCCCATTTTTTCCCCAAAAAATCCCATTTTTTTCCAATTTTTTCCCCTAAAAATCCCATTTTTTCCCCAAAAAATCCCATTTTTTTCCCATTTTCCCCAAAAAATCCCATTTTTTCCCCAGAATTCCCGTTTCCCCATGGAATTCTCTCCCGGAATTCCCGTTTTTTGCTCACCTGATCATCTCAGGAGGCACCACCAGCTCGTCCAGGAGCCCCCCGAGCCTCTCCCTCACCTGGCGCCGGTTCCGCAGCCGCAGGTTCATGGCCCCGGCCTGGCCCTGCAGCGCTCGGATCTCCCAGCTCAGCGAGCTCAGCGAGCTCTGGAACGAGCCCAGCATCTGCTCCATGCGCTGAAAACAACGGGAAAAAATTCCAGGAATTTTCGGGAATTTTGGGGAATTTTTCCGGATTTTTTTTTTATTTTTTTTGGATTTTTTTGGAATTTTTTTGGATTTTTTTTTGATTTTTTTTGGATTTTTTTCAGATTTTTCCGGATTTTTTGGGGGATTTTTTTAGGGGTTCCAGGAGGGATTTGGGGATGTTTGGGACATGCAGGGACAACTCAGGAATTTTTGGGAATTTTTCCAGCTTTTTTTGGGAATTTTTGGGATTTTTTTGTGAATTTTTGGGATTTTTTTGTGAATTTTTGGGGATTTTTTTGGTGATTTTTAGGGGATTTTTTTAGGGCTCGGATCTCCCAGCTCAGCGAGCTCAGCGAGCTCTGGAACGAGCCCAGCATCTGCTCCATGCGCTGAAAACAACGGGAAAAAATTCCAGGAATTTTTGGGAATTTTGGGGAATTTTTCCGGATTTTTTCGGATTTTTTTTTGGATTTTTTTTGGATTTTTTTTGGATTTTTTTTGGATTTTTTTCGGAATTTTTTAGGATTTTTTTCAGATTTTTTCTGGATTTTTTGGGGGATTTTTTTAGGGGTTCCAGGAGGGTTTGAGGATGTTTGGGACATGCAGGGACAACTCAGGAATTCTTGGGAATTTTTCCAGGTTTTTTTGGGAATTTTTGGGATTTTTTTGTGAATTTTTGGGAATTTTTTTGGGATTTTTTCCGGATTTTTTTGGTGATTTTTAGGGGATTTTTTTAGGGCTCGGATCTCCCAGCTCAGCGAGCTCAGCGAGCTCTGGAACGAGCCCAGCATCTGCTCCATGCGCTGAAAACAACGGGAAAAAATTCCAGGAATTTTCGGGAATTTTTTGGGATTTTTTGGGAATTTTTTTGGAATTTTTTCAGATTTTTTTTGGATTTTTTTCGGATTTTTTTTGGATTTTTTTGGTGATATTTAGGGTTTTTTATGGATTTTTTGGGGATTTTTTTAGGGTTTCCAGGAGGGTTTGGAGATACTTTGGAGATGCAGAAACAATTCAGGAATTCTTGGGAATTTTTCCAGACTTTTTAGGAATTTTCCGGAATTTTTCCGGAATTTTTTCGGAATTTTTTTGGATTTTTTTCGGATTTTTTTGGTGATTTTTTGGTGATTTTTAGGGTTTTTTATGGATTTTTGGGGGATTTTTTTAGGGGTTCCAGGAGGGTTTGGAGATGCTTTGGAGATGCAGAGACAATTCAGGAATTCTTGGGAATTTTTCCAGCTATTTTTGGGAATTTTTTGGGAATTTTTGGGGATTTTTTGGGGGGAATTTTTGGGGATTTTTTCCGGATTTTTTTGGTGATTTTTAGGGGATTTTTTTAGGGCTCGGATCTCCCAGCTCAGCGAGCTCAGCGAGCTCTGGAACGAGCCCAGCATCTGCTCCATGCGCTGAAAACAACGGGAAAAAATTCCAGGAATTTTCAGGAATTTTTCCGGAATTTTTTTGGATTTTTTTCGGATTTTTTTTGGATTTTTTTTGGAATTTTTTTGGATTTTTTTTTGATTTTTTTTGGATTTTTTTCAGATTTTTCCGGATTTTTTGGGGGATTTTTTTAGGGGTTCCAGGAGGGATTTGGGGATGTTTGGGACATGCAGGGACAACTCAGGAATTTTTGGGAATTTTTCCAGCTTTTTTTGGGAATTTTTGGGATTTTTTTGTGAATTTTTGGGATTTTTTTGTGAATTTTTGGGGATTTTTTTGGTGATTTTTAGGGGATTTTTTTAGGGCTCGGATCTCCCAGCTCAGCGAGCTCAGCGAGCTCTGGAACGAGCCCAGCATCTGCTCCATGCGCTGAAAACAACGGGAAAAAATTCCAGGAATTTTCGGGAATTTTTTGGGATTTTTTGGGAATTTTTTTGGAATTTTTTCAGATTTTTTTTGGATTTTTTTCGGATTTTTTTTGGATTTTTTTGGTGATATTTAGGGTTTTTTATGGATTTTTTGGGGATTTTTTTAGGGTTTCCAGGAGGGTTTGGAGATACTTTGGAGATGCAGAAACAATTCAGGAATTCTTGGGAATTTTTCCAGACTTTTTAGGAATTTTTTTGGCTTTTTTTTGATTTTTTCTGGATTTTTTTGGTGATTTTTTTGGTGATTTTTTTGGTGATTTTTTTGGTGATTTTTAGGGTTTTTTATGGATTTTTTGGGGATTTTTTTAGGGGTTCCAGGAGGGTTTGAGGATGTTTGGGACATGCAGGGACAACTCAGGAATTCTTGGGAATTTTTCCAGGTTTTTTTGGGAATTTTTGGGATTTTTTTGTGAATTTTTGGGAATTTTTTTGGGATTTTTTCCGGATTTTTTTGGTGATTTTTAGGGGATTTTTTTAGGGCTCGGATCTCCCAGCTCAGCGAGCTCAGCGAGCTCTGGAACGAGCCCAGCATCTGCTCCATGCGCTGGAAACAACGGGAAAAAATTCCAGGAATTTTCCGGAATTTTTTTGGATTTTTTGGGAATTTTTCCGGATTTTTTTTTGATTTTTTTTTTATTTTTTTCAGATTTTTTTTTTTATTTTTTTTTGATTTTTAGGGTTTTTTATGGATTTTTTGGGGATTTTTTTAGGGGTTCCAGGAGGGTTTGGGGATGTTTGGGACACTTGGGAACCACTCTGGGACAATTCAGGAATTTTTGGGAATTTTTCCAGCTTTTTTTGGGAATTTTTGGGAATTTTTTTGTGAATTTTTGGGGATTTTTTTCAGATTTTTTCCGGATTTTTTTGGTGATTTTTAGGGGATTTTTTTAGGGCTCGGATCTCCCAGCTCAGCGAGCTCAGCGAGCTCTGGAACGAGCCCAGCATCTGCTCCATGCGCTGAAAACAACAGGAAAAAATTCCAGGAATTTTTGGGAATTTTTTGGGAATTTTTGGGAATTTTTTTGGATTTTTTGGGATTTTTTTTTTTATTTTTTTTGGATTTTTTTTGGATTTTTTCGGATTTTTTTGGTGATTTTTAGGGTTTTTTATGGATTTTTTGGGGATTTTTTTAGGGGTTCCAGGAGGGATTTGGGGATGTTTGGGACATGCAGGGACCATTCTGGGACAATTCAGGAATTTTTGGGAATTTTTGGGATTTTTTTGGGAATTTTTGGGAATTTTTTTCAGATTTTTTCCAGATTTTTTTGGTGATTTTTAGGGGATTTTTTTAGGGCTCGGATCTCCCAGCTCAGCGAGCTCAGCGAGCTCTGGAACGAGCCCAGCATCTGCTCCATGCGCTGAAAACAACGGGAAAAAATTCCAGGAATTTTCAGGAATTTTTCCGGATTTATTTGGAATTTTTTTGGATTTTTTTGGGATTTTTTTTGGATTTTTCCCGGATTTTTTTGGTGATTTTTAGGGTTTTTTATGGATTTTTGGGGGATTTTTTTAGGGGTTCCAGGAGGGTTTGGAGATGCTTTGGAGATGCAGAGACAATTCAGGAATTCTTGGGAATTTTTCCAGACTTTTTAGGAATTTTTGGGAATTTTTCCGGAATTTTTGGGATTTTTTGGGGCTTTTTTTGGATGATTTTTTGGTGATTTTTAGGGTTTTTTATGGATTTTTTGGGGATTTTTTTAGGGGTTCCAGGAGGGTTTGGGGATGTTGGGGACACTTGGGAACCTCTCTGGGACAACTCAGGAATTTTTGGGAATTTTTGGGATTTTTTGGGGAATTTTTGGGATTTTTTGGGGGGAATTTTTGGGGATTTTTTCCGGATTTTTTTGGTGATTTTTAGGGGATTTTTTTAGGGCTCGGATCTCCCAGCTCAGCGAGCTCAGCGAGCTCTGGAACGAGCCCAGCATCTGCTCCATGCGCTGAAAACAACGGGAAAAAATTCCAGGAATTTTCAGGAATTTTTGGGGAATTTTTGGGAATTTTTTGGGATTTTTTTGGATTTTTTTTGGAATTTTTTCAGATTTTTTTTGGATTTTTTTCGGATTTTTTTGGTGATTTTTAGGGTTTTTTATGGATTTTTTGGGGGATTTTTTTAGGGGTTCCAGGAGGGTTTGAGGATGTTTGGGACATGCAGGGACAATTCAGGAATTCTTGGGAATTTTTCCAAGCTTTTTTTGGGAATTTTTGGGATTTTTTCCGGATTTTTTTGTTGATTTTTAGGGGATTTTTTTAGGGCTCGGATCTCCCAGCTCAGCGAGCTCAGCGAGCTCTGGAACGAGCCCAGCATCTGCTCCATGCGCTGAAAACAACGGGAAAAAATTCCAGGAATTTCCCGGAATTTTGGGGAATTTTTCCGGATTTTTTTTCGGATTTTTTTTGGATTTTTTTTGGATTTTTTTGGATTTTTTTTGGATTTTTTTGGTGATTTTTAGGGTTTTTTATGGATTTTTTGGGGATTTTTTTAGGGGTTCCAGGAGGGATTTGGGGATGTTTGGGACATGCAGGGACAACTCAGGAATTTTTGGGAATTTTTGGAATTTTTTTGGATTTTTTTGGGGATTTTTTGGGGAATTTTTTTGGGATTTTTTTGGTGATTTTTAGGGGATTTTTTTAGGGCTCGGATCTCCCAGCTCAGCGAGCTCAGCGAGCTCTGGAACGAGCCCAGCATCTGCTCCATGCGCTGAAAACAACGGGAAAAAATTCCAGGAATTTTCAGGAATTTTTTGGGATTTTTTGGGAATTTTTTGGGATTTTTTTTTGGAATTTTTTTGGATTTTTTTCGGATTTTTTTTTTATTTTTTTTGGATTTTTTTCAGATTTTTCCGGATTTTTTGGGGGATTTTTTTAGGGGTTCCAGGAGGGATTTGGGGATGTTTGGGACATGCAGGGACAACTCAGGAATTCTTGGGAATTTTTCCAGGTTTTTTTGGGAATTTTTGGGAATTTTTGGGAATTTTTTTCAGATTTTTTCCAGATTTTTTTGGTGATTTTTAGGGGATTTTTTTAGGGCTCGGATCTCCCAGCTCAGCGAGCTCAGCGAGCTCTGGAACGAGCCCAGCATCTGCTCCATGCGCTGAAAACAACGGGAACAAATTCCAGGAATTTTCCGGAATTTTGGGGAATTTTTTTGGATTTTTTTCGGATTTTTTTTGGATTTTTTTTGGATTTTTTTCGGATTTTTTTTGGAATTTTTTTGGATTTTTTTCAGATTTTTTTCAGATATTTTTCGGATTTTTTTGGAGATGCTTGGGAGATGCAGAGACAATTCAGGAATTTTTGGGAATTTTTCCAGGTTTTTTAGGAATTTTTGGGAATTTTCCGGGTTTTTTTGGGATTTTTTTGGGATTTTTTTGGGGATTTTTTTTGGATTTTTTTCGGATTTTTTTTGGATTTTTTTGGTGATTTTTAGGGTTTTTTATGGATTTTTTGGGGATTTTTTTAGGGGTTCCAGGAGGGATTTGGGGATGTTTGGGACATGCAGGGACAACTCAGGAATTCTTGGGAATTTTTCCAGCTTTTTTTGGGAATTTTTGGAATTTTTTGGGATTTTTTTTGGTGATTTTTAGGGGATTTTTTTAGGGCTCGGATCTCCCAGCTCAGCGAGCTCAGCGAGCTCTGGAACGAGCCCAGCATCTGCTCCATGCGCTGAAAACAACGGGAAAAAATTCCAGGAATTTTCAGGAATTTTTTGGGATTTTTTTGGAATTTTTTGGGATTTTTTTTGGAATTTTTTTGGATTTTTTTTGGAATTTTTTTGGATTTTTTTGGTGATTTTTGGGGTTTTTTATGGATTTTTTGGGGATTTTTTTAGGAGTTCCAGGAGGGATTTGGGGACGTTTGGGACATGCAGGGACAACTCAGGAATTTTTGGGAATTTTTCCAGGTTTTTTTGGGAATTTTTGGGATTTTTTTGTGAATTTTTGGGAATTTTTTTGGGATTTTTTCCGGATTTTTTTGGTGATTTTTAGGGGATTTTTTTAGGGCTCGGATGTCCCAGCTCAGCGAGCTCAGCGAGCTCTGGAACGAGCCCAGCATCTGCTCCATGCGCTGAAAACAACGGGAAAAAATTCCAGGAATTTTCTGGAATTTTTCTGGATTTTTTTGGAATTTTTTTGGATTTTTTTTGGATTTTTTTTGGATTTTTTTCGGATTTTTTTGGTGATTTTTAGGGTTTTTTTTGGATTTTTTGGGGATTTTTTTAGGGGTTCCAGGAGGGTTTGGGGATGTTTGGGACACTTGGGGACCATTCTGGGACAATTCAGGAACTTTTGGGAATTTTTGGGGAATTTTTGGGATTTTTTTGTGAATTTTTGGGGATTTTTTTCAGATTTTTTCCGGATTTTTTTGGTGATTTTTAGGGGATTTTTTTAGGGCTCGGATCTCCCAGCTCAGCGAGCTCAGCGAGCTCTGGAACGAGCCCAGCATCTGCTCCATGCGCTGGAAACAACGGGAACAAATTCCAGGAATTTTCGGGAATTTTGGGGAATTTTTCCGGATTTTTTCGGATTTTTTTTGGATTTTTTTTGGGATTTTTTTTTGGATTTTTTTGGGATTTTTTGGGGATTTTTTTGGGGATTTTTTGGTGATTTTTAGGGTTTTTTATGGATTTTTCAGGGATTTTTTTAGGGGTTCCAGGAGGGTTTGGGGATTTTGGGGACAGTTGGGGACCATTGTGGGACAATTCAGGAATTCTTGGGAATTTTTGGGATTTTTTGGGGAATTTTGGGGATTTTTTTGGGAATTTTTGGGATTTTTTGGGGAATTTTTGGGATTTTTTGGGGGAATTTTTGGGATTTTTTTGGGAATTTTTGGGAATTTTGGGGATTTTTTGGGATTTTTTTGGGAATTTTTGGGATTTTTTTGGGAATTTTTGGGAATTTTTGGGATTTTTTGGGATTTTTTTGGGAATTTTGGGGATTTTTTTGGGAATTTTTGAGATTTTTTGGGAATTTTTGGGATTTTTTTGGGAATTTTTGGGGATTTTTTCCATGTTTTTTAGAGATTTTTTTTCTGGGTTTTTTGGGGCCATTTTGTGACATTTTTGGGCCATTTTGGGGCATTTTGGGGCCATTTTGGGGCATTTTGGGGCCATTTTGGGGCATTTTGGGGCAATTTTGGGCCATTTTGGGCCATTTTGGGGACATTTTGGGGACATTTTGGTGCCATTTGGTGCAATTTTGGGACATTTTTGGGCAATTTTGGGCCATTTTGGTGCCATTTTGGGGCAATTTTGGGCCATTTTGAAACATTTTGGGGCATTTTGAGACATTTTGGGCCATTTTGGGGCCATTTTGGTGCATTTTGGGTCATTTCGTATCATTTTGATGCCATTTTTGGCCATTTTTGGCCATTTTGGGCCATTTTGGTGCCATTTTGAGCCATTTTTGGGCCATTTAGTGCCATTTTGGGTCATTTGGGGGCAATTTTGGGACATTTTGTGCCATTTTGGGACATTTTAGGCCATTTTGGGACATTTCGGGCCATTATGGGGCCATTTTGGGACATTTTGTGCCATTTTGGGACATTTTAGGCCATTTTGGGACATTTTGGGCCATTATGGGGCCATTTTGGGCCATTTTTTTGGACATTTTGAGACATTTGGGGGCATTTTGGAGCAATTTTGGGGCAATTTTAGAACATTTTGTGGCCTTTGGGGGCATTTTGGGACATTTTAGGCCATTTTGGGGCCATTTTGGGGCAATTTTGGGGCATTTTGGGACATTTTGGTGCCATTTTGGGTCATTTCGTATCATTTTGATGCCATTTTTGGCCATTTTTGGCCATTTTGGGCCATTTTGGGGCATTTTGGGACATTTTGGTGCCATTTTGGGGCAATTTTGGGGCATTTTGCTGACATTTTGGTGCAATTTTGAGCCATTTTAGGCCATTTTGGGCCATTTTAGGACATTTTGGGCCTTTTTGATGCCATTCTGGAGCCATTTTGGGGCATTTTGTATCATTTTGATGCCATTTTTGGCCATTTTTGGCCATTTTTGGCCATTTTGGGCCATTTTGGTGACATTTTGGGCCATTTTGAGACATTTTGGTGCCATTTTTGGGCCATTTTGATGCCATTTCGTGTCATTTTGATGCCTTTTTTGGCCATTTTTGGCCATTTTGGGCCATTTTGGTGCCATTTTGGGCCATTTTTGTGCGTTTTGAGCCATTTTTGGGCCATTTGTTGCCATTTTGGGTCATTTTGGGGCAATTTTGGGCCATTTTGGTGCCGTCACCTCGAGGATGGCGTCGCAGGCGCTGATCTGGTTGTGCAGCTCCGCGATGTTCTCGCTCTCCCGGATGTCTGAGGGGTCAAGGGACACTTGGGGACACTTTGGGGACATCAGGGACACCCAGGGGACACTTTGGGGACACTTTCTGGGGATTTGGGGACATTTTTAGCGGAATTTGGGGCATTTTTAGGGGATTTTGAGGCAATTTTGGGGGTTTGGGGACACTTTGGGGACATCTGGGACACCCAGGGGACACTTTGGGGACACTTTTTGGGGATTTGGGGACATTTTTAGGGCATTTTTAGGGGATTTTGGGGCATTTTTAGGGGATTTTGGGGCATTTTTAGGGGATTTTTGAAGGTTTGGTGACATCTGGGACACCCAGGGGACACTTTGGGGACAATTCTGGGCAATTTTGGGGACATTTTAGAGGATTTTGGGGCATTTTTAGGGGAATTTGGGGCATTTTTAGGGGATTTTTGGGGGTTTGGGGACACTTTGGGGACATCAGGGACACCCAGGGGACACTTTGGGGACAGTTCTGGGGGATTTGGGGACAATTTTAGCGGAATTTGGGGCATTTTTAGGGGATTTTGAGGAAATTTTGGGGGTTTGGGGACACTTTGGGGACATCTGGGACACCCAGGGGACACTTTGGGGACACTTTTTGGGGATTTGGGGACATTTTTAGGGCATTTTTAGGGGATTTTGGGGCATTTTTAGGGGATTTTGGGGCATTTTTAGGGGATTTTTGAAGGTTTGGTGACATCTGGGACACCCAGGGGACACTTTGGGGACAATTCTGGGCAATTTTGGGGACATTTTAGAGGATTTTGGGGCATTTTTAGGGCATTTTGGGGCATTTTTAGGGGATTTTTGAAGGTTTGGGGACATCTGGGACACCCAGGGGACACTTTGGGGACAATTCTGGGCAATTTTGGGGACATTTTTAGGGGATTTTGGGGCATTTCTAGCGGAATTTGGGGCATTTTTAGGGGATTTTTGGGGGTTTGGGGACACTTTGGGGACATCTGGGACACTTTGGGGACACTTTTGGGACACTTTTTGGGGATTTGGGGACATTTTTGGGGATTTGGGGACATTTTAGGGCATTTTGGGGCATTTTTAGGGGATTTTTGAAGGTTTGGGGACATCTGGGACACCCAGGGGACACTTTGGGGACAATTCTGGGCAATT